GACACACAACGCGAGTTATGCTCGATTTTTTGCCGATTTTTGACACACCACGCCAAAAAGGTTGCCCATCACTGCCCTAGGCTAATGCAAGTACTTATAGTTGAGCTGCTACATAACTAAATTGATCATTGGGTAAATATGCTTACACTGTAGGTTGATTTGACAGCTGAACTCTTCTTTCTATAAGTCCCATTTGGTAAAACATTGATATGACTTTTTTTCTTGTTAGTCTGCAGGGAAAAAGTAAAGGACAAATTGATTTTAAGGAAAATATCAGATGCAAACATAAAGAGAGATATTGAGCTGACTAACCCAGCTCTGTGCAATTGCTTAGCTGCTTCATTTAAGCTGACAAATATTTTAAGTTTACTTGTTTTGTTGGTGTTGAGGGTTTGCTGCTCCCACTCTCTGGTTCTGCTTCTATATTGGGGTCTGAATTGCCATTGCTGCTAATGGGGCTCTCTTGTTCTCCACGAATTTCTTCCAGTTGTGAAGCAGGCGATGCACCATTTAGTCCATCTTCAAAAACTGCTACTTCTGTAGTGCTGCTACCGCTGCTATTCCACTTCTTCATTAACTCAAGGACATTAAATGGCCTTTGAACAATGTCTGTTTCACCCTGAAGAATAACAATCAATTTAAGAGGGGTATTTCTAGGAGAAATGAACAAAATAGATGAACAACTACTGTACTATGCTGCTCTAAATAGAAATTATATTTCTTTAATAAACCAATGATGAGAATGAGAGTAAGCCAAAGAAATGGAAGGGGGGATGGTTAAAGGAAATTAAAACAATAGAGTGCTGTTGGCTTTTTAATAAGACCACTATCAACCTAAGAGTACTTTTTTGATACAACTCTTTTTCATTATGACCAGAACATGCCAGAAATGACCCCTTATTGCTTATAAATAGTACAGGAATGACAGTTTATAAAGCTGGCCTCTTTGGAGAAAAAGGTCTCCTCGAGAGTTCCCATCAGGTAAAAAAAACCTGCACCAACACCCACCTAGAATATCACAGAGTAAGCTAATCAGAAGTGTATTGGGATAATGCAATCTTCCAATTTGGAAGGACATCCTATAATTAGATATTGCATATTTGTTAAGAGTACCTGAAGAAAATTATCATAAATTACTAGAAATGACCAAGGTTAGAAATAAGAACAGCAGAACTCAATCTTGATATTGCAAGTGAAATATCTGCAGTATCTGCAAATATGTTTTTCCTGCTTTCTGGCAACATAAAGTTTCATGAATTCAGTCAGAAAAATACTGGGATTATTAGCAAAGCTTCACATTTTATAGTTCAATAGCAATAATATTTCTAGAATAACTGTACCATTCCAGCCTACCTACCCTCAGCTCCAGGTTTCAAAATATTTTTAAAAAGAAGTATCTGAGACAATGACCCCCATATATATTGTGTCATACACTTAGATTTGTGCTTACATTTGTAAGCAGCAAAGAAGTGCTTTTGCCCTTAAGAAAAGTACAAGACCTTTTCTATTGCTTTGTAGGGAACTGGAGCTGTGAACAGCTGAAAGAGCTTAGACAGCCATTTAGAATGGAGGTACAGCTTCCTGTCCTCAGTTTGAATTAATGTTGTAACAGAAGTATAGAGACAGAATGATCATTCTGGTGGTGGTATTGAGACATAATATGCCTACCTAGTTCTACTACTAGACTCATATTCACATGCATGTGTATAACGTTTTTTATTATGATTTAACTTTAATACTGCATTTTAATGCTGCCTTTATTATTTTAATAATCACCGCAAGAGTGAGTACTTTTTCCTCCTATTTTCCCTATAACAACAGCCATGAGATGAGTAGGGCTGCAAAAATATGACTGGCACAAAGTCACCAATCTGGCAGGATTAGAACTCATAGACACCTGGCTTCTAACCTGGTACCTTAACCACCAGATATGAGGGCTGGAATAATAGAGACACGCACAAAGAAAATTCTATATGTATTTAAATAATTTACGCCTAGTACTTCTGAACTTATAGAATGATTTTCAGATATGAACTCCCAATTCGGCTAGATGCCAATTTTCATCTGTAATTAACAGTAGACAAATTGATGTTATAGACAACAAAATAACTACCTTATTTGCAAGCACATTCAGGTAATTAAGTGCACCAAATCACACCTACCAAATAAGAGGCTGAGTTGTAGTCAGGGGAAACAAGCCTATGTTTTAAAGAGCTACAAATACTGAAATAGCACATGAAATAGGATGGTTGTATTCTGACAGTTTTTAAGAAAGTGGAACCACTTAAGTTAATTGCTATATTGCTTCATTTGAACACCTGTTGCTTTTAATTTTGCTAGCATCTGGTGCTAATTGTGGGGAAAGTGGAGGATTACTAATTGGCTGCCTTTTAGATTGTTCATTTTCTTTTGTCTTTCCTTCAAGTTCTTTTCAGCCAGATTTTAAGGAAGGGCATGTCAGTAAGATTCAAATCATAGACTAGAACAATACGCCCCTCCATCATGTGGCACTCAGCTTATGTCAGAAAGACATTTGCCACTTTATGATCTTCAAGCACTTGTCTCTGAATGGCAATATTCCCATACCATACCATAAAGATTTGCTGAAGGAACTCTTCACAAATTAAGAAAATAATAACAAAGACCTACAGTAATAGAAAAAGAGGCTCTAATAGCACTTACTAGCTACTGAAAAAAGTTAAATATATGCCCATAAACAAGACATTGCAAAATTGATGAGCTTATAATGGATTAAAACAATTTATAATGACCAGAACAGACAAAACTAGAGAAAGCATACTCAGTGCTTAATAATGATGAAAGGAGAAGCCATGTTATTGAAAATAAAAATGTAGCACTCAGCCATGTTTGGTGTCAAGAAAATCAACATCAAGTACAACTACTTGATACAAAATATAGTAAATTATACTTTTAGAAGATATATAATAAGATTATGTCTAATGACGTTCACAAGCACATGCCAATTATTTACCTTATTTTCTTCAAAGGCTTTTGTTCATTAATCATTGAGACAGAGAAATAGAAAATTCTAAAGATGCAGACATTCTGGAATGTCTCTTCCTACAATGGCTACTATTACAATTTTGTAAACATTGTCCAAAACTAATATTTCAACAATTTTTTTCTGATGATGTTAGGATAGCAAACTCTCATTTGATATTTTAGTCTTTCTATGCTACAAGATAACAATATTCATAATTTGCACTTTCTTCTCCATTTCCACACCCCATTCAAAGTGCTGATATTAATCTTTAAAACCTTAAATGGCTTAAGATCAATATGTACTTAGGCTGTCAGTTTCATTTTGAGATCCTTCTCTGGATGCTTCTGCCAAGAATGTAAATTTATCTATGGAAATTTTAAATTTTGTTTCATTATTTGTTACTGTAATTTAAGAAGAAAGGCTTGTTCACATTATTCCAATAAATTTTCAACCCACCAGATTCTCCTCACCCACCATAAATCTCTTAGCTTAACTGATAGAAATGTAAAATATAAAATTTCCATAAGACCAGCATCCACACCACAATAATTTCAACATCAGATCCACATCTTTTGGCAATTCAAAGTATTTTGCTCTTCATGTATTAAAAGAATTTGGTCTGCTGCTACTCTGGATTCTTGGCTTTCATTAAATCTATTCTGTGGAGTTCTAAGTACACTCTGAGCTTGTTTGTTTGTTTGCAGACCTTTCCTTACCCAACTAGGTAGCATCATCAGTGACTAACATAAACAGGGCACTGATAATATTACCTAGTTGGTTGAGAAAGATCTGGAAGCAAACAACCAAGCTCAGAGAGCACCAAGAACTGCACAGTTCAACCTATTCTATTCCATTCTAGGTCTATTCTGGTGTGCCCCGACAACAGCGCACCCGACAAAACCGCGGCGATAAAACCATAACATTGACAGCGTGCCCACAAAGGCGCGTCGACAAAAGAGCGCCAACAGAAGCGTGATTACAGTTAAGGTAAGGGTTAGGGTTAGGGTTAGGTTTAGAGCGTGCTTCTGTCGGCGCACTGTTGTCGGCGCGCTTCTGTGCTCTTTCGTCACCACAATTTCAAATTCGCATTTTTTCCCCAGTGGTTTTGTCAGCGCGCTTTTCTCGAGCGCCCATTTGTCGGTGAACCCTATTCTGGTACTGTTTACATTTATTTTACATTTTATATTACTCTGCTATTTTCACATATTTTATAGTTTTAACTTTTGCTTATGAAAGGCCCACACATTTTCGTAATTGTATAGTGTAAATATACAATAAATATTTTTTTTACTTAGAGGAAGTTTTAAAATTAAACTTATTTATGCTGTATATGATTTTTTAAAGAGAAATTGTTCTTCATATGATTCTGTTACTGTGATTCACTTTTCAGTATATCCCTTTCCAAAGGAAAGTAACACCAATGGATATAAGAGCCAAAAGTAGGAATTGCTTATTTAGAACTCAACTGGGCTTATGTCAGCAGGATAGTTGGCATTTTCCTCTCTTTGCAAGTTTTTTAATTTTTAATTTTCCCCCCATTGTTTGAAATGGGGTAGAAAATCAATCGATTCCAGGATTGTCACACTTTTCCCTAATGTAACTGGCAAGTATGAATAATGGGAGTGCTGTTTTTCTTGTAGCTCCACAACTTTCTATAGTTCCCTCCACAACTTCCCCATCCCCTTTCTGCTTGAGCAGCCAAAGGCAGCTGGCAGAGGAATTTAGAGCTTGGATCTCAGTTTCAGTATCAGACTTCTCTCCATCATTGCAGAAGTTCTAAAAGGCTGAGAAAAAATAGAATTATATGTAATTGGGGAGAATAAAGATATACAAGAAATTATATTCATTTCCATGAATATTACGGAAATAAATATTTCTATAACTATTAGGAACTCTCTGCAGTTTCTAAACTTAATATACTGAAAAAATGAATATATATGTTGCAGATAATTGATAGTAAAATGAGATGTTATTTGATTATATGTGGAGGCAGACATTTTTAGACAATTGTTTTGAGGATGACTCATGTACATTGGGCCCTTAACTGATAATTTCTGTTGTATTACATTAGGTTATTTATGATACATCTAGCTATATAAAATGAAGACGTGTTACCATAAGTTTTTGAAGTAGGTAAATACATTTTTCCAATTATGTCACAGGGCTTTACCTACTTCAAAAAACACCTCCTGTCGCTTAGAATCAAGGGACTAATTTTTATAGCAGAATGATTTTTCACTATTAAATATCTGTACAGTATGAAATTATCTGGACCATTAAGAACATCTGGATTCCCCTTTAAACTTTTCTAATTAGAATATGCTAAACCTATAGATATATAACATGTAGATAAGTAAATGTTCATCTAACCTTAATTGGAAAAATTAATTTTGCAAACAAAAGAATTAGAAATATTTAAAAGAAAAGGAAATAAAGCTTACTGTGATCCACTGGCAGTCAAGCAGTTCATTTGCAGTGATTCTGTGGGCAGGATCTACTTTCAGAAGCAGCCGCAGTATATTTTTAGCTATAAAAAAAAAGACATAAACCTAATTTCTAATAATTGTAAAATATACATCTCTCCACTATATTCATGTGTGTTAACTTAGCAGAGTACTATTCAGTAATCGTTTTGTGAAATTTCTTTAACTTCAATGAAGATCATGTTGGTGCTTTCAAAAGGTCAAAAGATCATTTGACAATGCTTTTACTTTATTTATCAAGGAGTTTTAGTCATATACTTATCTACCTACCAGCTATATTGACTGATTGCCACACTGATTGTTTAAAATGAAGTTCTCCTTTTTTTATAACTTCAAAAAGTTTTTCTTCTGAACTTGCCATAAAAGGTGATTCGCCAGATAATCTGGAAAGGTAAGAGGAAAAAAATGTTTCAGTTATTGAAATATATCTCTAGTTCACTACCAATATCTTCATGTGTATATTGTATTTTTTCAGTTTAGGGCAGCACTTTTTATTCAGTTGAATAGTAAATATAAAAGGAAGAATGCGGGATAAGATGGACAGAGAAGCATCAAATACTTATTCCAAATTCTTAACTGTCAAACACAGAGGAAATTATTATATTGTATTACAGCTAGGCCAAATATCCCTTTTTGCAGTGATTCAACTCGATCTTAAATACGATTCATAACCAATGAATGTAGCCTTGAAGAAATATGAACAGAGTACAAAAGTAGCCTTGAAGTATGAACCAGCCATTATGAAAAATTAAGCACAATCAGGAAAGACAGAAAGGGAGACAATCTTGAGGGCTGACAAAATGGTTACTTACCAAATTTCCCCCACTCTATATGTAGATACAGGGATTTAAACTTCTCATTCAAATTTAGAAAATCAGGAATTGGGAATTTAAACTATTTCCACACAAAAAAAATTAGAATGTTTATTTAATCTGTTCAGAACTACTGGTTTCTTCCTATATTTGTATTAATGTAGGTTCTTTTGCTTCTCTGGATCAGTCACATGAATGATCCACCAGTTGGAGATCATGCTTTTGTAAAGTGTGATGTCATACTACTGGTTATCTTACTGGCATTATTATCATTAAAATTCAATGACAGATTCTGAGAGAAAGCAGCATTTCTCAATCAGTCACATAGAGGATCCCAGTCAAGTGAGGGTTACAGTATATGGAAAAATTATTATTACATTATGCAGTCAAACCAATTTAACTTCATGATGATACTGTTGGAGTACAAACACAGGTAGCTGAGATTAGAAATTAAAATGTAAATGAACAAGAAAACATTTAGAGAAGCATTACCAAAAACTAATATGAAATAGATGTATTTCAGTATTCCCCAATATATTCCTATTTGCAAGTATAGTTGTTTTTCAGAATAATGTAAAAAAAAATACTGACCATGGATATTGCTAATTTATCTCTGTAAAACTTGTGATCCATGAGGGCATGCCAAACTCAACCCACTAGGAACTCAATAAAAGATAATTGTCTCTTGTTTTACTAGTCCGTGTTAAAATTGAGATGGGCCATAAATTGCAGCTACATTACAATAAAATACACCATAGAGACCCTATGCTACTACACAAAAGTATCCATGAAATTCAACAATTCATTGTAAAATGAATGTTGTATTTCAAGGATTTGTTTTTCTATGGATAACATGGTCAAGCTTAGTGTAACAGATATACTTGTTAAGAGAAGGTATACCATCTCTATTAATACAATTGGTTCAGCAGCTAATACATTAATACAGATCCATTAAAAACTACTAGGCACATCAGTGAGTAATGGAAACATTAAACATTCATTTAACAAGGACAGCTCAAAAACCATCTAACAATGGTTGAGCTGCCTGTGAAAACTACAAAAATTAAAGAATATTACATGCATCTCTATTATATCTTCTAAATAGAATAAAAGGAATATATATTCTATTAATTCTTACTAAGTTTGATTTTTAAGTGTCATTTAGGGACAATATAAAGTAACATTTTGGTAATATTATTGTGATCCTACAAGGCCAACTTAAAATATTTATGTGTTAATTAAAGTATAATGTTATGAAGCCTGAACTGTGACTAAAATTGGGACAATTCGGTGCTCTTTGTTTTACAAGGTCTGTGAATTGTACAGATTGCAGAAGCAGCATGGAATTCTTACTGTCCATTCAAATTACCCCAATCCAATGTATAATACATTCAGCTATGCTATATTGTGCAAAAATGGCATGGTAACATTAATACAATAAACTGTGATCATAAAATTGGTACTGTCTCAGTATTAAAAAGTTTCAGAACACAGCATGATCTACATTTTTTTTTAAAGCAATAAAACTTCAGTAAAATCTGTGTGCATAAGAACTATATTGGATAAATTGGAAGAATAATTATTTGGGAAGTATCAACTTTATTGGGAAGAAGTTTATTCTTTCTACTTGACTGATCTCTTCTCAGTTGCCAATATTGAAGTTTCAAAGAAGGTCAGCCTAATGAAATTCAACATAGGAAAAGAACAGTTATGGCTCATCATTTTTCTCCATCAAAGAGAGTTCCTTGTTACAATTTAGATGTATTTGTATAGTTCAAATTCATTTATAAAGTGTAGATTGCATTTTTTACTGTTCAAGTATATCACATAAATATTTCTGATTTTCTTTATTCAATTAAAATATTAGTCTTATTTATAAATAACCAAATAAAATAGTAACCCAAGATCTATAAAGTACAATTGTCTATAAGAACTAGTAACTTGGGTCCAGATTTGGTCATACTAAAGGGAAATCTATTAAAATCAATGGGATTTAAATTAATTACAACCATTTTCAATGAGTTCACACAAAGCATGACCTACATCTGACTCTAACCTTGAATAAAAATGTGTGTATTATAGTGAGTATCCACTTAAAACAAGGGTTTTTAAAGATAACATTCTGGCAAATAAACTCCATTTTGTCAAATGCAATCAGCAAAGCACAAAATTAAAAAAACGTATGCTCATAGAGACACAGAGAGATCAGAGTACATTTTCTTAGCTATGACCAAATAATACTTACTTGAGTATATTAAGAGCTGAGGTTAATCATTTCTGTTAGAAAGGATTCAGTAGAGACAATTTAAACAATGAAAAACACTAATCAAGCAGTAATTGACAAATATTGCTTTTTTAGGAATATTTTTATTATATATAAACTACTTACAACATATACATAATGACACCTATGCTCCAGACATCACACTGTTGGCTATAGTCATGTGCACTTATCACTTCTGGAGCTGCCAACAAAGAAAAAATACAGATACTTTTAATTACTTAAAAGAAAGCGGTATGGATGAGATATACTTTGCTCACCCCTCAAAAAATAGCAGATGTTGATATTAATAAAGTAGGGCCTTAAACAATTCATGTTGCTATAACCTCATTTTGATCGTTTACTTAGTCACAATTATCATAATTCCTAATTTTGTTTCTTGTGTTCTTCCTATTTGTAAATTGTGAACACTGTTCCTAAAATCTTGACTTCAAATCCTTTACAAAACCACACAAATACATTTCAATTTGAAAAACATAGATTCATATATTAGTTTTAAAGTCAGAAAGGCTTCTTCCCTAGTATATAAGGGCAGATCCTATGCAGTGAGAAGTAAAAGTGTCAGAGTAGGCGTTAGTAATCTGTTTGTGTTGAGAGCTCATCAGAGATGTTGAGACTATTTAATGGGCACGCACTCAAAAAGGAAGCCATGGTGGATATGACTAGTTTCAGAAAGAGTTTTTCAAAATGAAAATGGTCATCAAATATGCTTTCTGTAATCCAAGTGGAAATCCAAGTGGTTGTAGGAACTAAAGGTTCTTCTACAGATTTCCTATTCGTTTTTTTTAAGTCAGGTGAAACAGGGAGCTGCATGGCCACCACGGTATGAAATAACAGGGCTGAGCTTCAATAGATGAGCTGCTAGTTTTTACAAATATCCTATTAAAATTGAATAGAATTAGTCAGCTCATCCTTTAAATTGAGCTTCAACCCTCGTATTGTACTTGTGAGCAATATTCTAAGAACTCAAGGACTATGCTCACTCACACCAATATGGAACTATGTTAACAATTAGCAATCCCATTGAACTGAATCAAACATTGCAAGCAGATTTATGAAAATGAAATGCAAATGTCTGTGCAAGTGAAAATCCACTGATGCATTAAAGCATTTTGTTTCCCTTGTTGCAAAGTCCTGCTCTCCTCTATTTCATCTCTGACAAAAAAGCACAGATAGATCCATGTTGTGATAATGTAGTCTTGCCTACTGTCATGGAAAGTCTGCTTACATTAATTGAGACACTATTCATACAAGCAGCCTCTACCAACAGTTAGATATTTCATTCTTTCCCATGCCATACCTCAGTTCTTCTGATTCCAAGTCTCCCAAGGATGCAGAAGAAGTGGGGGAAGGAATAGGCAAGCCCACTGTAACAAGCAAGCTTCTGAATGTTAATATTGGAAGCAAACTTCTGTTCTTAGCCATCCCTATTAAGATCATTATTTTCATTCTAAAAAGCTTACTCAGTCCTGTTTGAAGAAACTCTCTATTGGTAAAATATAGTTATAACTAACAACAATTACATAGCTTCAAACTTATATCATAATAATGTATCCATAAGTCATGAGCATAACAATTATTGCACATATATAAATTAATAGAATTCGATATATCCCTATGTATTTATTGATACTTACAAAACTTTAATTCATTATAATACTATTTTAATCAGTTCAAATTTAATGGAAAATATTATATAAAGTACTGGACTTACCCATATAAATAGGAGTCCCACAGGTAGACTGGAACATGCTTTCACTTCCTCCCATCTTTTGAACAGCTAAACCAAAATCAGTTACCTATAAGAAACCATCATTGTTTTCTTTATTATATGCATGTATGTAACTTTTTATTCTTCCTAACATTTCAATATTCATAGCTAAACCATTTTGTGTGAGATTTAAAAAAAAAAACCTCAAAAGATTTCCTATAACAATTCACATTAAGCAGAAAGTCTGCATCCAGGTTTCCATACATATTTCCATTTTTTTGGGAAATTGCATTAGCATTTGTGCATACATAAAAGCAAGATGGGTATTCAAGAGAAACAGCCAGGAAAACCAAATGCTGCTACAGGACTTATATTAACATATTTAAAAGACACATAATTATAATTACATGGTGCTTAAGGATCCAAATGCAGTATGTAATATACAGAAGATACTAATATTGAGTAGAAGCTAATATAGAAATAAAGACATTTAGAGACTAAATGGGTGTTTCAGTTGAAGGGAATTTAATACATTTTATTTGTACACATTCTATAAACAAATAAGCAAGAAGGAAAGGGAGAGCGGCTGGAGAATATTTTCCTTCAGGGAATCCAAGTACCCAAGGATCCTTACAGCCTATATTTCATAGACTGCTTTGAGAGGGCTGCCAAAGTACTGGCCATTTTCTGTATGTTTGATTTCAGACATAAAGGACAGAATGAGATAAACAGTGTCAATCATGTGTCAGTCGTGTTCCTGTCAATCTTGTTGTCTACAGTAGATAAGTATTAGTCCACTCCATCTAGCTGATCTCAAAAAAGCTAAACAAAGGCAAGCCTGATGAGTGCTTGGATGAGAGATCATCAGAAAATCTCATCTATAGGAGAGACTGGGAAGTCAAAAAATATCCAGGAAAAAAGAAATGATAATGAAATCTGTATTATTCTCAAGAAAGTAACAAGGACATCTACGAAGTCATCAGATATCATTATGTAATGGAAACTAGAGCAATCTAGCAAGGGAATGGCTGCTTTTATTACTGCAAAATATGTCCTCAGCTTTCCAGAGAAGTGTTTTCCATTTTCTTTTCAGGGATATTATATGGCCCCCCCAAAAAGTCAATCCATTGCTCGGTACCATCTCCCTTGAAAGGGCTATTATGTCAGCTGAGCCAGAAAAGAGAAGAAGAAAGTAGGTTTGTCCAATTCACTATCTTTTCCCTTTTTTCTCTTCCTGTCTCAGTGCCTGGCTAAGGTAATCTGTGGTCCCTGCTTTCCTGCACACAGAGCTGATACCTGGATCTGGGGGAAATACTCTGCTATATGTGACTCAGAAACCATATATCCTGATGAGAAGGAGGCTGGGTAATTGTGCCTACAACATGTTGCATTCAGCTCTTGTTGGCACAAAAGAATAGGATTATGCCAAAGTGCTGTGCAATGGAAGAAAAATCAACATGGAAGAACTAACATTGCCCGCATATTTTTGAAAATCTCAACTACTTGAGTTACATTATTGTGTCTTTAGGCATTGATGCTTTGTCTGTAGCACTGTTTCTTCTAAAATGTTTTCATCAGAACTGTCCAGGAAAACTGGTGTCAAAACAACATAGCAAGGCCCTGCAGCCTTAACATATAGTCAATACTGTGTTGGAAGAGGAGAAAAACAACAGTCTGATTTAGCACGCAAACCTGCCACTCCTCAAACCCAAGAATGATCATACATTTCTCCCCAGAAATGCAAGCAGGAGGATATACAGAATCAAAAGGCATGAAGAGAAGCATGAATTAGCCCTAAGAGAAACCTTGATTCAGGCAGAACACTCAAGGACATAAAATACACTTCATCATAATATGTGGCTTTATTTCCCATAAAATGTACCCTAATATTAGATATCATTATAGACATTTTATTAAATCCTCCCAGTCATTTTAAAGCAACTATAAAAATAGTAGGCATTTTGTAATTATATTTATTAAAGGTCGATTATTTCTTTATAAATAAATAAGTGTAAGTTCTTGAATCAGTTAATGCATTTTGGCAGTAAATATTCATCTGAAGTCCATAAAGTAGAAAGTCATTGGGATGTAAAAACTATAGTTTTCAAAATTATTAAAATGTTTAAATTAACTTGCCAATATGCATAATTCATGCTAATCATGGATCTCCAGGCTTACATTTGCTAACAGTTTAAAATATCCAGAAAGTGAATAAAAAGAATAAAGTATACTTTTAAAAACATTTCTTTACATATAACTATACTGTTCTTTGTTCAATAAGAAATTTTTCACCAGTGGCACTTGACTCCCACATTCTTGTCAATTGCTGCTATGTCAGAACCTTATTTTCTGGCTTGATTATACCATTACACTTCAGTTTAAAAGCTACTAATAGGCATTTACTAGGAAAAGTGACTTTTGATACCTGTATCTGGAAAAAAAAAAGTAGTGTATAAAGTGAAGTATTACAATTTCTTACCTTTATGTTTAATTTCATTTCATTTTGTTCATCAATGTCACTGCTTTTAACTAAAATGTTTTCCAATTTCAAATCTCTATGAACTATATCTGTCAAGATGGAGAACAAAAAGTAAAAGTGTTATTTATCAAATGCATTGAAAAATATTCTGACAAAAATATTTTAAAACCCTTTTGACTGAGTAATTTATGTGCATTTCATTTCACATTAATGCACGCAAGCAGTCACTGTATTCCTTCTTTCATAAAAAAAAAGAGAACAGTTTCTGTATGTTCCAAACTTCGGTCAAACTTAGATCGATTCTTCAAATAAAATGAAAGAGAAACCTGCATAGATTTTATAACATTAAAGAATATAATATGTCACAGGAATATTTTAAAAGCACTAATGTATAAAATTAGTATTTTCAAATGAAAATACTCAGTATGCTTTCTATGTTCAGAAACACAAAACATTAAAAAAAATTCAGGTGAGCACTTATTTCTTATTCAGTTCCTTCCCACCACTACTACTGTTTTATTTCTATTCATAGTTGAACCACAAACTACCCATTTTCTGTTTTCTATCATTTGCTTAGGATTTTTTAAAATTATATCAAATCTCACATTAGTATTTTGTCACATATTCATGTGTGTCTATTTATCTGAGCATCTTAGTGGAATAAAATGGGGTCCCGTGACCCTGTCCAAAACAATGTGAACTCTCTTCAACTTTTCTATAACACACACACACACACAATCACACACACACAATCACACACACTTTAACAACTAAAGGAAAAGTGAATGAATGGCCAAATGTTGAAGATGAGGTTCAAATCCTCTGTACTGCATCACAAAGTAAGAAAAAGAGTTCTGTGATGATTCACCAGCATTCACATGTAAAAGATTCCAGTTCTATATATTTTTACTCCAAGAAGTTGGAGGAAAGCTTTGTGACAGGACCCAAGGAAGGCATGAGCCTTATTATTCTAAAAATTCTAAAAAAATAAAATATTCCTTGTATAGATAAAATTATTATTGTCTCATCAACGGTCCATTCAAAACCAAGGTGAACAAATCAGGATATAATCTTAGAAAGATATAATCCTCTCTCTAAAACGTTATCTTCTTAATTCTCTTAATGAAGATTATTGATACACAGATGCTCACATTGATCACTGCTTAGATTAAAGAGTCAGAATCCATATTAATCTTTGCCCAAGTTCATATTGATAAAAATGAAAAGCCCAAACTTGATAAATATGCTGTGAAATGGATCCAAATATTTCTAGAAATAGCACCTTCATCATTAACCTCACTGGTTTTTGTGCATCACTGTGTAATGTCACTATAGGAGGAAAAGGTCTTTTGTCAAATTTTGTTAAATGTTTTATACAACATTAAAATGAACTGGCTGAAAGACAAAAGCACATGCAAGAGATTCTATGTTTATTTTGGTATGTTTTCTTTGACTTTCTAATAGCAGTTCTTGTTACACTGTGGGTCTTTCTGAACCTCTAATCCAGGAGATGATGAAATGGAGACATTATTTTGAAAAAGACACATCCCATTCATTTGCTTATTGAACAACTTTCCGGACTAGAACTTATATCCACAGAAATGATAAGAAAATAACAATTATTAGAAATATTCTATTTCCTTACTACCTTTGAATAAACTACTTATTAACTTATCAACAAGTTATTATTAGTCTTAGACCAGCAACCAGAACAAATAAAAGCAGTATATATAAACTTAAAACTACTAGTATAAAATAATAAATAACAACTAAAATCTATAATAAAATCCAGTGTCAATTGCACATGGTCTGACTATATGATAGTCGGAATCCCTAAACTGTGTGGCTCATTGTAGGTTCAATGCTAAAAGAGAAGTGACTAAGCAATGCAAAGGGTTTGTCACAATTGTTATATAACATCGCTATGGTGGAGAAGACACATGTTTGTGACGAATCCCTAGTGCTGCTGCACAGAATCTGACCACTTGCAGGTAGTCATGAACAGTTCATCCTTAAGCAGCCACTGGAGATATGTAGTGTCAGAACGGCAAGGATACCTAACAGTTATTGCAGAATATGTTTTTTTCCAGTGGTGGAATTCAAATAATTTAACAACCGGTTCTCTGCCCTAATGATTTCTTCCAACAACCAGTTCACCAAACTGCTCAGAAAAGTAACAACTGGTTTTCCTGAAGTGGTGCGAACTGGCTGAATCCCACCTTTTATACTTGCCATACAGAACTGCCGATGGGAACGCTTAACACCATACAAGTGCAAATGCTTTCCGGTGGTTTGCTGACTCCAACTGACTAACATAGCTGGCAGGAGCAACAACACATCTAATGGCATCTGGAGCCAGAAACAGTGGAGCTTTCCCTAAGTCTCTCGATGTCCTCCACCCTTTGTCACAAGGTTTGTCTTGCTAGATCATGGTCCATCTTGAGTATTAAAATTGGGGAGAAGCCTAGTTTGGCAAGGTTGGAGTCAACAGCCTTGATCCATGATGAAGAGAGGATTAGAAATATTCTATTTCGTTACTACCTTTGAATAAAGTACTTATTAACTCATCTATTATACTAAAAATATAATTACAGTAAAAAATGGTTTTCAGCTATAAGTACAGTAAAAATAGGAAAACTGCAATTATTAAATATAGTACAAAATGAACATTCTTACCTTTCTTGTGAAGATAAGCAATTGCTGATGCAAGACTTTGGATTATATGCCGAGTCTCATTCTCTGAAAATTGACCTTTTCTTTGAAGAATCTCTTTAAGTTCTCCATCTTCGCATAACTCCATTATAAGATACACCCGCTGACATTAACAAAGAATATATCTGTGTCTCTGTGTCTGTGTAACACCACCTTAGCTTACATAGAATATTGAACTGAAGAAGTAATGTGGGAGTAGCTTTAATCGATAGGGTTTTTCCCAAATAATTATTCAGCATGTTCCAAAACTCTTGGTGGCTCCAAATTTAACACTGAAACTTGGGCTTTCACCCCATACTTAGAATATTAGTGTTCTTTTGAGCCTATTGATGACTCTAGACACAGAGTTACTGTAACTGAAGGAATAGGACCATAGCTTGGATGTCATCCTAGAATCCTATTGCAGCACATCATGGTATGGAGGGCATGAGGTTCCTAGCTTCAGCTGGTAAACCTATTGTAGCTAGATCTATAGTGAGAGCTGCAATGGCTCATGCTAGCATCACCACTTGTCCAGACTTCAGCAAACCATTCTACATGTGACTGCCTTTAAAATCTTCAGTAAACTTTAGCTTGATGGAAAAAGTTAGGGCCCAGATGGGATTATGTATATATTTCAGGCCCTACATTGATTGTCTATTATCTTTCAAGTGCAATTTTAAGCACTGGTGTTAACCCTTATAGTCTGATTTCAAGTTATTTATAGGAATGCATCTCCTCACTGGAATTTGCAATTGTGCCAGGAGAGGCAACAGATTGCTCCCAATTTTCAGGAAGTCAAGAGGGAAGGTGTGTTTTAGGGTGGCAGCATCGGTGTTTTGAATGGCCTCCCATTTGTGGTTAGATTAGTCCCAATGTTGATCATTTTCCAAATAGAAGCTGAAAAATGAGTTCTTTGGGAAGGCATTTGAATCGTGATGGGTGGTGTATGTTTTATGTCTGGGTAGGAGGTGTTATATTGTATTTATTATTATGTTCATTTTATTTGTAAGCCATTGAGAATTGGATTAGACTGTGACAGGGAAAATCTGGCATATATAACAATCCCAACGGAAACAAGTAACAAGCACCACAGTTTATGGTAGTCAAAATGCAAGGTGGTAGTCATAGTAGCTTTTCCCCCACAAAGGGATGGGGTTTCAATCACTTAGCTGCAACTGCCATCTCACCATTTTTAACTACCAACCAATATAAGAATGATCTGACAGTCATAAAAGTCTGAATTGACAAAAAAAACAAAACAAATGCATTTCCAGATTTGTTCAGAAAAAGGGATATTTGAATGCTGCAAATTTGAAACAGACAGAAAAATATGTAGCATTAAATAATAGAGAAGGAAGTTTTGGTCCAAACCACAAGAAAGTGGTTAGGGAAGAGTAACATTATTTTTAAGAATTTAGGAGCAAATGAACACCCAACTGCCATCATTATATCTTGTTTTACACATGATATGAACTGAACCTTGGGAGTTACATTTATGAAATCGTACCTTTGGTGTCTCAAACACTTCTTCAAGATGTATTATATGCTCATGGTTTACTGTTTTCAGAATGCTTACTTCTCGTTCAAGAAGCTTTACAGCAGAACTCCCAGCCTTAATGTGAGAAAAGTATTTTTTTTACAAACAGTACTAAACTTGATCAATTTTTGTTTGTTCTTTTAATGTATTTTAATTTATTTATTTGTATCCCATCTTTACTATTTTTACAAATAACTCAAGGCAGTAAACATATCCAAAATACAGAAAGAATTTGAGATTAAGGCTACAGAGGTTATCAGACACTGCAAGAGCCTCAACAAGAAGCAACAAAGCCAACTGTGCAACTGAATGTTTGTTTGAAGTAACAAAATACAAAAAATAATAATCACCCAAATGCCGACTTCATGCCACTTTATGTAATGGAAGGAAAGTGAAGAGGAAGATGAGCAGCAAAGTGGATAGACTCAGCTATACTAGTTAGAGTGCATGGCTGGAAGACCTGAAGGACTGGATTAGGTGATGAAGAAAATATGGCTGGCCACAATCAATAGTAACTTGATGGCACATAACACATGTCTTAGCAACTTTTTCCAAAAGCACCAAAAACTGGTTCAATGACCGTGGGATTACTGTGCTTGATTGGCCTCTCCATTCTTCCTCCATACTCTGGGTCCTTGGTTTCCAAATGAGATGCAAAAGTTGCTCTCATCAGAAAAGAGGGCTTTGGACTACTGAGCAACAGGACTTAGGACCACTGTGTTTCATTAATATTCTAATTTTCTGAGATGGTGGATTTGGGGTTTTCAAATCACGGCTTGAACTATCTTGCTTTGCATGTAATGTCTATCTCATATATTAGTTTCGACTTTTAAGTTGCATTACTGAAATAAATGAACTTTTGCACGATATTCTAATTTTTTGAGTTTCACCTTTATTAGATGCCTACATTTATAAAAGCGCTATATATTTATAGAAGCCTCTCCAAGGGCCTGTAAT